GAACTTATGTTTCCGTTTCATCCCCACGTTCTCGTTGAAGTTGAACCTCTGTTTGAACCCCACCTTTTCTTGAATGCAAAGTTTGACAACACGGACAAATGAAAGACAAAAAAGCAAAATCTAAATTAACAACTACATGTACAAATAAATTTAAAGAGATCGGCAGCCCCAATGAAAAACAGAGACGTTGACATCATTCTTAAAATTTATTTAAAGAGAAAGTAACACGAGGAAGAAGAAAAATCATAGTTTGTTTGGTTCAACTTGACCTTCTCATCTAATTGGATCTGAATTCAAGCCATGATTTACATAACTTCAAGCCTTCTCATCTATTTGTTTGGTTCTTGGTTTCAAATACACCATTTTAAAAATTTTCTGGAATTTTAGTTGGGTCCAACCAGATAAGATGACAACGGCAAAACGAAATATGTCAGTTAGGATTTTCATAACTTTTTTTTTTTAAATTGATGATCAAAACTAGATAAAATCAAAACAAGAGTAATCAAATTTATAGTTTACCCTAAACATTATTAAAGACCCTTATATCAACAACTTAATCCATAAACTAGATGGTATATGTTCCTACCAACTATATTTTCAACGACACAACAATATAACCTGAATGCATATATCATATATGGCCTTCGGGTTTGTTCCTTTGCGGAACCAGTGGTCTTCTGCAAGAACATCCTGCTCATAGAGAGACCTAACCATCTCAGTGAATAGTTTCATCAATTTTGCGTTACCATAGCATTGCATCCTCAGTATGGAGATGGGAGAGTGGAGCTGGAAGAGAAAGATCAGTCAAATAGTGGTCATACGGTGCCAGATTAACAATTAATATGTCACATCAGCTTTTCGTCACCACTGTCATGGCTTTAACGACAAGTGACCAATTTATTACAAATCAATAACATTAGTGACCAATTTATTACTTTTAAAACTTCAGTAGATAAAACAAAAATTTACTCAAACATTAATAACCATTTGTATAGTTTACCCTAAAATATAATAAATAATAAATATAGTTTTAAATTATCTAAAATATATAATAAAAGATCTCATTAAATTTAATTACAAATAATAAATAAAACATTAAAGATTTATAATAATTAAAATTTCTCGTATTAAACTCGTATGAAATTTTTGATTACGTTCTCTTTATTAGAATAGAAATATCTTTAATTTTTGACTTTGATTAAAGCATTTAAAGATACATTTGAAAGGTAATTACCAGTCAATACCCATGAGAAGAGTTAATGATCGTATCGTTTTTGTTAAAATGTCTTAAACTTCCAAAAATAATCATTGTTTAAATAAGTATATCTTAAATTTCTTACGTCTAACCGAGACATTCAAAGATGCATCAGAAAGATAATGTCTTTTAATTCAGAAATATTTTGATTTCATAAAAAAAAAACATCACAAGTCGGTTCATGTTCTGATCTTCAAAAATAACTTTTTTTTTTGGGTCTAATATGACTTTGATTTACAGATCCTATACTCATGACAAAAGTGCAATGAATGGTGGAGACCATCTCCTACGACTTTGAAGCAACTTAGGGGGTTTTCTCAGCCTTAGTAGATAATGTAGGGTCATATTGCACGACCCCTGAGATATTTATTAAAGAAGAAAAGTTTTATAAAGATATAAAATCAAATTACTTGTCTCTCGAATCAATTCAAGCAACTTTCCCTGAAGTAAATTAGAGGGCACATATTTTAGAGAAATGAATAAATAGTATGGTACTAAAAAATATCTTCCATAACAACTTCTACACTAAAACCATACATGATTTTGCCAAACATAAGTTCCATGCATGAAGAATTTCAACACAATCTGACTTTCATCAAAAGAAGAAAAAAAAGAAAAAAAGGGGGGGGGGAGGGAGGTTGGTGACAGAACACCTGTATAGCTACTTAGAGTGGGCAAACACATCTCACTAAATTCATTGGTTCTATAGATGATAATAGGATAGTTTCGTAATGCTAACTGTCAATGAAATCCAGTAGAAAAATAATATTCTCTCTGCTCCAAATACATGATACCAAGATTATTCCCTGTGAAAATACATGAAAGAAATTAGTTATAAGTTCAAGAAATCCCAACTTAACATAGTATCCTAGTTAATTCAATCCATAATGTTACAGCAACATGATACCAAGTCATAAAACAAATCTAATGATATCTTAAGATCAAGCAAAGCATAAACTAAACAAGCCGGTATGCACATGCTGAATGAAAAATTTATCGAAGGTTTACTTGGAAGGGGTAAATAAGTGCAAACACCAAAATCACACATGAAGGTGGCCCAAAGCTTTGATAAATCAGTTTACCAGAGTTCAACAGATATGCCTTGTCATGAATACAAATTATTTAATTGAAGTTCATGCACATCTGGTTCCATACAATACAGGGAGACACCAAAATGTATCCAGGCAATGAGAATTCCATCTTCAATAGTTTTAAACAAACAAATCACTATTGAACACAAAAAAGATTGGAAGAACCAATCTTCATCATTTCTTGCATACAGGTGAAATGGTCGTTTCATGTGTCACTTTGAGGACACTTTAAGATAACCTTTTTCACCTTCAATGGTGGCTTCAAAAAGGAAAGCACCTCAATCGGAACACAGATTGTCCAGAAACAAATCTTCATCAGCCATCTCACACAGTGCAAACCTTGTTTTTCATATAATATTGATGATCTTTTAAGCTGATATACTACAATCTATAGGAGAGACAGTCAGGATTAGTTGTATCAACTATCAAGATCAAGATTGATTGCAAATTCTTTTCTGGTCTCTCAAGAAATCTCTGACAGGTGTTTTAGATGATCTCTATACAGCACAAGCCTATCACGAGATTCATGGAATTATACTAAATTCAATCATATGGCCTAATATATGATGTATATCTAGACAGGAAAATAAAAGGATTAATAAACAAATGTGCATTCCTAGATAAGAACAGAAAAAATATATACCAAGAGTGTAAAGCATACAGTGAAATATGATTACTCACAACAATCAAAGATAGCAGAATAATTAAGGCATAAGTAATTAGTAATCAATTATCAAAACGAAACATGTCAGTTACTCTATTTGTTCCATCACACCCAAGTACAACTAAAGAGAAGATCAATTCATGAGGAAATAGTTTGATATGAACATGTAACGGTATTAAGTTGTGATAAATTCTATGATAAGGTTCAGAATAGCTTAGCAAGGCATGTTCAATATAGCATAGACCTATAGCAAGGCATGAAATTCAGTAAAACATGAAGCCTTGCCATCTACTGAAGCCACCAAAGTCTGCATTATGAGGAGACTAAAAAATTATATTAAAAAATGGAATCAAATCAAACAAAACAAAACGAACATGACATTCAAATCGGAAAATGTTATATAATAAGAACATGAAATAAAACTCTAATTTATAAATAAATAACTAAACCCCAGAAATAACTTACCACTTAATGAGCCATCCAAAGAGGAAATGCTGCATAATAGGAACCTTTTCCAGCACCTCAGCTTTATACATCTTAAGCATCCCACCATTCACCTTCTTCCAATGAGGCACTGCACTTATATCATCCAACAGGGGTGAATGCTCTGCAAACGGACCTTTTTTCACCTTCTTTATAAACCCAGTACACGAGAGATACATATATTCACTCGAAAAGTTCTCCAAAATATCCTCATTATGAATCGATTTCGGCTTCATATACTTATGATCAATCAATTGTGAACTCCCAAATATAAACGGCAAGAAATGGTAATCATCTAAACCCCAAACCCCGTGTGACCCCGCCGGTTCCAAGCAATAAACAAGCTGAAGCTTCCTCATTAAGTCTATATATTGACAAAAACTCTAGCCACCACTGCTTGGTAATCTTCTTCCATAATTACCCCCATTCTGGCTAAGCAATATAACCAGGCTGCAAAATTGGTTTCGTGTCCCGTTCCATAATCTATTCGGCTCGAGTTTCCAAAGCCGTCAGAGAAGTAAGGGACTATTTCGATCGTTGAGGGTTTGAGATCGTCGGGGAGGAACTGTCGCATGAGGGATTCCGCGTTTTCAGTTAATCGTTCGTGCCAGGTTCGATAAGAGATGTTACCGTATCGAGAGGTTTGCTGAAAGGGTGGGATTTGATCGACCCAAAGAGATAGGTTTTCAATTATGGAAACGATTTTGGACACAGTGAGGGATTCGTGGCATGGGTCGGAGATTTTACGGCCTCGGATCGATTCCGACAAGGCGACGATGAAACCCAGGAAGTTTTTAGAAGTAGGGGAGTCGTGGAACTTGCGGATGTCGTCTGGGGATGTGATTTTTTTGGATGGGATTTGGAAATGAAAAGGTGGAGTGATGGTGGGAACTTTTTGGGATTGAGGGACGGGAGTTAGGATAATGGCTTGGGTGTTGTTCGGAGGCAGGTTCAAGGCGGGAGCTCGAATAGGTCGGTATGCAGGGGGAGAAGAAAGGTCGGGCCAGGAAGTTGAGGATTGGGTTGGTGGCGCGTAGGTCGTTGAGCCGCCGCACTTGCAGCGAGTTCCCGTGACGGGGATGGAAGTGGAGGGATGAGAGTGAGTGTGAGAGGCTTCGTCTTGTGGGGATCGCGGCGGCGGCGGTTCCATGGCGGTGGCGAAAAAATGTTTGAAACAAGGAAGGTTCCGGATGATCGTTGGAAAATTACGGGTAAATCAATGTTCCTTCAAAATGATTGAAAATGCTCTCTTTTAGTTTGTGATCGGCGAATTTTCCAGACCAAAACCAGATGTTTGCATTTGTATTGGGCTACGTAATTGAAACGGTCCACAGGTGCCTATTTGAAAAGCTCAAGGCCTAATTGATAGTTCGGCTTTATGATTGACCCATTTGAAATGATTCATACATACATACACACACATAAAATCGTTAATTGTTCTGAATATGACCATTAGCCAAATATTCTTTTTGACTGCTGCTTTTTGTTGAAAGTTCTACAAAGTGGCCAGACCTTTACCAACTCTTATATTTGCTAATTTTGATTTTTGGCCATATTTTGACTCCTATGTGTGACTTGTGCAAAGATTATTGTGTTTGAGCTTTTGGTAAATCAACTTTTATGCTAAATGTGTGCTAGAGATGGTATTTTCTTTATTGAAGTTGATAGAGTTCTAAAGCCTGGTGGATACTTTGTATGGACTTCACCTCTTACCAATGTTCAGAGTTTTCTTCGTAACAAAGAGAAGCAGAAAAGGTGGAACTTTGTTCGTGATTTTGCAGAAAATCTCTGCTGGGAATTATTGTCTCAACAAGATGAAACTGTTTTATGGAAAAAGACCAGTAAAAGGAATTGTTACAATTCCCGGTAAGGCAGTTTTCTAGATTTACATTCATTTTCTTCAAAGATGGATGTATTTTGATCATATGAATTATTCGAAATCCTAATAACTTAATCATTTATGTGCAGGAAGCCTGGTTCTGGTCCTCCTATTTGTAGCAAAGGACAAGATATTGAATCTTCATATTATCGCCCTCTACAGAACTGTATAGGTGGCACGCATAGCCGCCGATGGCTTCCTATTGAGGAGAGGCCAACCTGGCCTTCTAGGTCTAACTTGAACAAGAATGAACTAGTTCTATATGGTAATTTGATGTTCTTTACATATGTTAGAAGTAACAATTCCTTTATGTAGGCAATGACATGAGAAATGTTTGTCACTTTGATTTAATTTTGCTGATGTTTTTTATATTTTGGCAGGAATACACTCAGAAGAACTCAATGAGGATACCGCAAACTATAAAACAGCTGTTCGTAATTATTGGTCTCTTCTGTCACCCCTAATATTCTCGGATCATCCAAAGAGACCTGGTGATGAGGATCCCTCTCCTCCTTATAACATGCTCAGGAATGTGTTAGACATGAATGCTCGCTATGGTGGTTTAAATGCTGCTTTACTATAAGCAGGGAAGTCTGTTTGGGTTATGAATGTAGTCTCGACAAGTGGACCCAACAACCTTTCCCTCATTCTTGACAGGGGCTATGTTGGTGTACTGCATGATTGGTAATTTTCTTCTCTATCTAAATATTTTTTTTATCATTTTTTCATGTAATATATCCTTTTAGTTATAATTCCAATGTTGTCAAATAATACGATTTTCAGCAACTTAAAATATGCTTTTCTAAAATGGTTTGGCTGTCTTCACTGAAACTTTAATGAAGGTGAAGACATCATGTTGCTTTTGTTTCACAGTTGATTAGCTGCTCTTACATTTAAAGATGTGAAACGTTTTCCATTAAAGCTTTTATGATCAACATATGCTTTTCCTTTTTTGTGTTTTTATTCATCTAACGATCCATCTGTATCACTTTTAGGTGTGAAGCATTTCCAACATATCCTAGAACCTATGATATGGTTCATGCAGAAGGACTTATATCCCTCGAGAGCAGTCAACATGGAAGATGCACCATGCTTTTTATATTCACTGAGATAAACCGGTTGCTTCATCCTGAGGTACTAGGACCAAGCTATCAATTAGTCGAATCTAACCACCTTTAGCTCCTTTTATGGTTACTTTCTACAGTTTCTCTATTCCTGAAATGGTATAATAATTACAGTAGGTGTATATAATAATTAAAAAGTACTGTTTTAGAGCCAAAGCGTCCATCTGTCCCATATTACTTCTTTATCACATGCCGCTCTTAATTTAGCTATGTTGCATAACGATTATCTTAAAGATTGTTAGGGATGTTTGCTGGTTTTTATGTTTAAACGAAGTCCTGTTTTTGGACAAATTTTAGAAGCACGAGTCAGCTATATTAGGCAAATTGCTTTGAGTATATTTCTTACATATATGCCAATGAGTACCCTGCAAATATCGTAGATCTTTTTTTCTCATAAACCTAAATGATTGATGTTTTTCCATCCAAAGAGTGTTAAAGAGCAAATGAATTGTTTAAAAACCCTACATCCTAAACCCATTCTATCAAACAGTACAGATCATATCATCTTCTACCGTTATGTTCTAATATATGATGAGTTGGATGGTTGGTGCAGGGTTGGGTGATAATCCGTGACACCGCTAACAACACGGTTGAAGTGGGATGCCAGAGTTGTAGAAATTGAAAGTACCAGCGAGGAAAGACTCCTCATCTGTCAGAAACCTTTCTTTAAGAGGCAAGCAATTTCTACCTTGGAATTCAAACTTATAATGTGCACGTTAACTAATCTTCATAATTCATAAAGCTCTACCTTGGAAGTGGATATACCATATGTTTTGAACAGGAAGAAGAAAGAGAAAGTGAATCTTGACGAGACCAACGATGATGACAACTCCTATGGAGCCGTAAGGCAAACATAGGGCATTCTCGATCGAGGCATCATTGCAAGTGAGAAACTATAGGGTCAGATTTAACATTTTCATGTTTGTCTCGTTATAAATATACAACTACATGATTAAGATTGTGAAAGATGATTTACAGAATAAGCAAGTGCTAATGGCTGTGCAGTATAGATTAAAGAAGAAAAAAAGTTCTTGACAGTGTCATTTATGATTTTATGATTCTCTACGTTACCATTTATATCCAATGGAAACTCCTGTTGAACAGTGTTCTCACGTCTCGTTCGATCCATCTCTGCATATAGGGAAGCTGATCATTAAAAATTGAAGAAACGAATGCATGTGATACAGTTTTGGTGCATTGAAGGGAAAATTCTTGTACATGCAACATGAATTTCAGTATTTTATTCGGTTTTTAATTATAATACTACATATTGTATTTACAATTATTTATCGGTTAATGTTTAAGATCGGATACTGGTTTTTTAATGTCCAATATAACTTGTTTATTTCTTAGATTTTTTTTTATATTTGTTCTCAAAACATATTCTGTAATTAAAATAAATTTAGTGAGATTTAAACTTTAAAAGGCTGAATTAAATATAAACAATCACATAAATATTCTAGCTCATGAACTTGTATATTTTATAATATCCTTTTTTGTAGGATGATCAAAACACGATCTGTTTAAAAAAATTAAAATTAAAATATTTGATTTTTCAAAACAACATAAATAAAAAAAAATGATTTGTTAGAATTTAAGTTGAATTGAGTTTTTACAATTCGAAAATATGATCAACACATGTTATATGAAAACTCTTCAAATGAAAAAAATAATTACACAGTCACTAATATTATCATTTTACAATAAACCAGACATTAACAACTGTTACCTCAATTACGAAAGACTAATGTGGGGTTGATCCAAGCCCTTGTATTGTAGCTGTATACCTTTTCATCTACTTTTAATGCTTGTAGGTTCTTGTTTCCTCCCAAGATTGGCCGGAGGATGCTGGTCTGGTTTGTGCTTAAGCTCATCGTCAGGAACCTTTTCATCCGCAGGTATGATCAAGTTGCTGTTATTATTCTCTCCTAATCCCTTTACTTTTGTTTTTTTTTAGTTTTTTTTGTGACATGTATGTATTTCCACGCACGATTGTTGACTCCAAAATTTACCATCCAATGGGTTGAGGGGGTGGACGAGGACAATCGTTCCCTGAAATTTTCAAATTCTCTTATATTTTAAATTTTTTTATATATTTTTTTATTGATTATCTATTTTCGTCCCCTCAAAATTCTATAAACTCGTTATCCTCTAAAATTTTATACGTTCATCCCTTAGCATAAAATTATACACCTATCCCTCGCCTAATGGAGTTTGACTTCTACTTAAGCTGGGATTCAGGTTTGATTTGTTTCATTTCTACACTCGAATGTTTATCTGTGTTTTCTTTTATAGTTTAGTATATGTTTCTGTTATATTTTATCTACCTTGAAAAACATGGAACAAACCGACCAGCTCTTTACCATGTACTATAGGATGAGAACAAGTTTATAGCTGATGCATTGCAATCTCTGCTATACGTATGTTCTATCCCTAATCTTTATGATTCCGATTTCTATTTCGTCATGTTTCTTCAGCAGATATTGTTCACTACACACAAACCAAATGACTTCGATAAGTAAATGAATGATTATTGATTATTATTTCTAGAGATTCTGGTTCTAACACGATGTCTATGAAGAGGTTAAGGGGCACGTTTATGCAGTGGTACAGAGATTCGCAGCAACAGTCTCCCTCGCTGTCGGGTCAGAGCAGCAATGAGTGCTGCAACTTAAGGGTTTTGGACAGGAGATTTCTAACTTCCAATGTGAGGGAGGGTGACGATAGATGGGCAACATAGCACCAAGTCGAATACCAGTAGGGATGGTAGTGGGCTTTGGTTCCCAAGAAGGGGCTCAAGGCTTTTAGTAAAGGGAGAGGAGGTGCATACGCCGACGAGCTGGCAACTTGATGATGAATATGGTTGTGGTTTTCCATAGTATTGAGTTGAATGGCGGTGAAGACAATGAGGCACAGACAGTTCCCGAAATCTTGAAATTTAACTTTGAAAAATAGACAAAATGTTTATTTTCTCTACCAATAATAATAATAACAATTATAATATTACTTGAAATATCTAAAAGATTTTGAACAAATATATACATCAATGAGATAAAGAATTTGATTAATTTTTTTATTATATTTTATTTTAAGTAAAATGAATTAAAATCATTAAGAATAATCTAAAATTACCAAAGGAAGAGATGATAAGATTACCACTTCATTACAAAATTTTGAGAAATAATATCACATTCCTGACTTAGGATCTTACTCTTCATGCAAACATAAGAATGTGACATGAGAATATAAGATTACCCTTTGATCTGAGGATAGATTTCTTGACGACTTTGTTCAGAATGCATTAATAAAAATTTAAATCCCTAAATAAATAAATAAAAAAGGGACCTTAAAGCTTTGGTTATGACCAAATTCAGGCAAAGGCTTAAAGCACAAGTGTGATTATAAATTGAAGAGGTGAAAACAAAGTGTAAAAAGCCAATCACACATGGAAAACGCAAGCTGAGAACCAAAAACTGACACACAATAAGAGAATATCATATTCAATTGTGTTTAAACACAAGAGAAAGCAGAGTAAGTCTGCAAGCCATAAGTCACAAATACGAGTATTAATACGACTTGAAAAGAGGTCACTCTATCGGCAAACCCTTTTCTATCGCGATAAACCAGCCTTAAAAGAATTGTCTTCCATCGGATTAACTCTGAATAGATGGACCAAAATCAATAAAGTAACTAACATTTGCACCAAAAAAGATATCTAACATTCCATAAAAAAATCACCAAAACAGCTAAAATTTTAAACATTTCTTACCTCTGCCTGATGTTCATCGCCCTTTGATTTCTCACCTGGAATATGATTTGCAAACAGAAAAGTATCAGTAGCAGTTGACAAAAGAGATTAGAAGGCGAGCTTATACTTCTTGAAACAAGGGATAAATATATAAAATTCACTCGGACAATAAGCAAACCATGGCAATTAAACATACACTATATTCATTGACTAAATCATAGCCAAACACACATGCAAAGCATTTACCTCCTTCCTCTGGCAGATCTGAGGTCCACAAGGTGAGATTATCCCTGAGAAGTTGCATAATTAGGGTGCTATCCTTGTAAGATTCTTCATTAAGGCTATCGAGCTCAGCAATAGCCTCATCAAAAGCTTGTTTAGCCAGATGGCAAGCCCTGCCCAAATGTTGCATCACATTAGATAGAAAGTAGCTTCTAAAGTGGAACTTGTATCAATAACTTCATGCCTCATCTATAGTTGCTAAAACATGTAAACAACAAATGAACGGCGATTAAGGAAACTATTCCTGAAATTATCACTAAATGAAGCATGGTCATCATTGTCCCCAATAAACCGAAAATTTTCAAATAGATTCATGCATGTGTGTCTACATATGAAGAGAGGAAGGGGGGGAGAGAGAGGGATGCACTCCAACCTCTCAGCAGAATTTAATATCTCATAGTAGAACACAGAGAAGTTCAAAGCCAGGCCAAGTCTAATTGGGTGAGTTGGAGGCAAATCAGAATTTGCAGTAGTTGTGGCAGCCTACAATACAAATAACAACAAACACCTGTCAACTTTGTAATATGAAATCAAAATAAAGGGCAGATGAAGGGAAGAAGAGAGCAAAAACAACAAAAAGAAAAGGGGGGCTGGAGAGTTCCATGCACCTCATAAGCCTTAAGCGACTGATCGGCAGCTTCTTTACGATCATCCCCTGCTTTAAATTCTGCCAAATAACGAAAATAATCTCCTTTCCTGTAATAATGGGAACATATAAGACATAATAAAACTATTTCCTTTAAAAACATATAGGCAAGATAATCCTCACATCTTATAGTAGAAAACAGTTGATTCCCCTGTTGAGGAAGATGGAATGAGATGCTTATCAATGACGGATAGTATATCATTGCAAATCTTTGCTAGCTCATCTTCAACCTTCTGCCGGTACTCCTTTATCCTCTTCACATTTTGTTCATTACCCT